CAGATTTTCCTGTTATTTCTTAACAGTTGGTAGCCTCTGACGCATACCACATGATCTCCAGTAGCTTCAGAAAGCGATATTTCTGTCGAGGCGATGATATGTGTCGTGTGCTTGTGGGTCAGAATCCTGAATGCACCCATCTTGTTAAACAGGCTCTGTATATATAAGTACAGCGTCATTAGATTCCGTTTATCGGCGTGAGCCGGCCCTGATTACGAAGAAGTTTAACCACAGGAACGACCGCTTGATCTGTATTATCTTGCATTTTTATTTTCAACCCCTTCTTCCCCTCTTATGTCCTCCTTCTCAGTTCTGTCTTGTGTCTTTATGTCGGTTCGTAATTTAACTGCGAAAACACCTCCTTATGCGATGGACGAAGATTCATGTTACCTTCTAGGAGATGTGATGCCCGGGCTTCATTTGCAAGAATGAGTTTGAGAGACATTAATAGTCCACGCGACGCATCTACATTTCCTAGACGAAACCTTTGTGCGCGATAACAAATTCGCCGTCCTGAAGGTCGCCATTTGACGATGCTCGAATGAGGTTGAGATCGTGTTCGTTTTTTTCCTTTGTAATCGAAGAGATGGACACAGGGGCTCCCTAATTTCGTTTTCGGTCGAGGCGTATGTTTCATGGAAAAGGTGGGCGTCTATTTCTATGCGTGCTGTCAGCATTTCGTCAATTTCTTTGCCATCAACGTTTGATTCACAAACAGCTGTCATGGCCTAGCTTTCACTGCGTTACTCACCCACTGAGGCGCCTTGGTCGTGCAATGCATCCTTCGCCACTGTAGTATTTGCTGGCATTGTGTGTGGAGTCAGCGCTCTCATACGGACACTATGACCTGATGTGTCTCTTCAGTATGCCCTGGGGCGCTTCTGCGTTTCCTGAGATCCCACTCTCTAATCCTTTTCTTGCACAAGAGGTCGGTTCTCAGTTGTGATTTCTTCCTTAGACGGACTGTCTTCTTCCTTGGCGGCTGATCCAGTTAATAAGACTGTGCTTGAATACGTTCTCTTTGTTTTCTGAGGGTGTGACGTCGCCGACTTTCTCTCTACGGGTGAATGGCGGGGAAGTTTTGTCAACTTCTCTATCTCTATTATTTGGTCTCTTGTCTCATTCTCCATCTACAAGACTTTCTGGAGAAGACTGAAAAATGCCGCATGAGTTTTATCTTTGTTGTTGTAGTTGACATCCACTAAGTTTACTCAACTCTTGGCCATTTTGACAAATTAAGATTTGAAAGCGGGAAACCCGACGATATATTCAGTTGGACAATGGGCATTGTTTATTACATTATTATTTTTAGACCTTCTACTTCGCGTCAGTGGTCCACTGCTGACAACGTTGGCCTCGTCACCTCCCTGACTGCGTTCGATTCTCGCTCGGGGTGCATGTATAGAACTCCGATGTAGAATGTAGGAGGAACATTTTAACCAGACAACCGACATGAAACAAGTAGTGACCGATATGAAGCAAGTAGCAAGAAATTCAGGCGTTCTTGGAATGGGAGTCCCGCGGTATTTTTGGCAGAAAAATGGTCCGGAAGAGAATGGTTGTCCCATAGAAAGTACTGTTGAAGTTACGTGTAGTTCGAGGAATTGATGGTTGCGATCCAATTTGGCCCTCAGAACATCCAATAGGCAAAAATTCAGAAAAAGACAAGTCCCTCGGTGGTCGGAAATTTTAAAACGAATTTTAAAGGCGGACGAAGACATGTCATAATATATGTGAGCGTAGTGGATAAAATGCTTTGAATCGCACCCGCCAAAATGCATAACCCAGGGCAACATTCAGGATGAAATAATATCTGTGAAATGACACAGTAAATCCGCGACCACAACAGCGTATATTGAAATATTTTCGTTGAATACGAGGGCAATTTTACGACGAGAGATCCCATAGATATCTTAGTGACATACCGGACTAATAATTGTCCTGTGGAGGGATATCAGGGAAGTACATTCGATTTCGTGAAAATGTTGGTTAAATAAAATTTGCGACGAATATCCCTAGAGTTTGGTTTTTGTAGAATTCACGCAAATCGCATCAAGTCGACATCTGAACAAATTAGTATTAACAAACCTAGCTTCTACTTTATTTGAATGCATCGCAAACATCACCTTAAACATACAGAGTACTGCGATGGAATTAACTGAGGACAATAATCTGTGCTCGTCAGCGCGTAAGATTTCGTAAGCAGCTATTAAATGAGCTTACTGTTAGGTTTTTACCTCTATATATTTTGGAAACTAGCGCAATCAGATAACATGTGTCAGGTGGCACTATATGCTGGCAAACGATCGTTTTATTCGCAAAATTATCATTCAAGTGTAGCAATATATTAGCACATAGATAAGTTTGCGTCTAATGCGTAAGCGTTACATCTAATACATAGTCGTTCCTTATGATTGAATACTCCATGTGCACTATGCGAGAATAAGATTTATGCCAGCATCCAGGACACTTATTGTTTTCCACAATAGCGATAGGCAACAATCGTCGAGGTTTGATCCTGCACCCCAATTGAATGATATAATATGTTTGGTTATCTAAAATAATTTAAGCAAACACACCTAACATAGACACTCGCTGAATTAGGAAGGGGAAGAGAGCACAGGCCGAGCTCGATGCAAGCGCAGGGAAACGTGTGAGAATCGCAGGTGGTATGTGCACACTTCCGCGACGCGTCCACTCACCTGCTTAGGAGGAGAAGGAGGCCGCAATCACGACTGGAAGGCTATGGGTGAAACCGCCTGTTAAGTCCTAACGCATAGCCAGCATTGTGAAATCGACGGAGTTCCATACCATACCATTAGCAAGCTTCCTTTGCCACCCACTGAATTGAAATAATAAAGAGGGCGCAAGCGAGGGTCAAAGCACGCGCAGGGAAGCGCATGTGAACAGATACCTGAGGTGACCGAGGTGGGCATATAAATACTCAACCCGAAGCAAATATACTCCCTGGAATCAAATGTTAAAGGTAGGTGCAAACACGTGGTATATATAAAGTCGGCGTATTCGAACAAACTTAAGTGAAGGGCGTGAATTTGAGTTTTTTGTGGCAGTAAGCTACCTAGTGGATAATGGTGAGCTATTAATCGTGCAGCCTGGCTGAGTACCTTTTAGCAAAGTTTGTGTCTTGAAGCAACAATTGACTGATACAAAATGGTTAGCTAACTGAAATTAATGTACAACGCGCGATTGTGCTGGCTTTGCGGGTATCATGTGATTGCGCATTTCCTTACTATTTTAAACAAGAGAGTGACTGTGACTGTGTCCATATAATCATTTCCGCATCGGGTGCGTTCTGCTTGTTCACGTTGAACAGCTGAACTGAATTCATCATAGTATACGTTTACGCTAAATCGATTGTAGGTGCTTCTTAATGTGAAGGAACGCAGAAACCACATGAAAACATAGCTCCTCCGACCACAGGAGATACCTTGCTTGTGTGCAGCAAAAACCCCATTACGCGGTCCTTAAACATGGCCAAGATTGAAAGGTCATCCTTGAAAAGATAATCAACCGATAGGCTGAGTATATGTAGTGTTTCGGGTGTTAAAAGTGATTTCTCCCGAAGATTTCATTTAAATGCCGAACAATTGGGACGCGATCCTAGCTAAACACAGCATCTTTTATTATTGTTTTCAAGGTTTTCCTGCTCTCTTATATTTACATCTGTGATGATCATTGCGTATGAAGTCAACCTGGGTGTTTTATTCCGCTACGTCGTTTCATGTAAAAAGGTAATATCAGGAAGTAAATAGCCAAAGTTATTGAACGTGTGAACATAGGAACCAAAGTCTCTCCATTTACTGATGCCAATTTTTTTCACAAGTGCAGTACGCCACGGATTACGGTTTTTCTCTTTTGCTGTTACTACGGATTTACTTTAGAACATTTTCGAAATACGGATCAAATGCCCGTAGTTATTGATACCTACAATTCCGAAAACGGACTGAACAGTCTCCACAGAACATTTCCTAACCGTAAACATTGATGGATTCTGTGTTCAGTTCAGTTCAGTTTATTGAGGGAAATGTAGGTCTTCACCTTTGAACTCCCTATTTGTTTACAAGCAACTGCAAAATCTCAAAAACTCGAAAAGGTATCATAAAGTAACAAATAATCGGAAAAGCGTCAGGTCTGTACAGACAAACAAACTGTCTCTAATTTTAGTGGTACGAGCAGTTGTAGAGCTGTCGTTTCGAGTGCAGCGAAATAAATAATATGTCCGGGGACAAAATTTGCACATGTGCACGTCAGTGAGCGTAGGCGATGGGTTGGTACAATAATAAGTTCAATTTTAAATGTTACTGAAATATAGCAAGTAGTATTATAATAACGGAATTTGTCGAGGTTACAGAGATCGGGGTGGTAATTCAGTGCACTCTGCTACACAAATCCAGCTTCCTCTTAAAAACCTCGACGGAAGCAGACATAACGACATCCACAGGCAGAACATTCCAGTCTTCTACCACTCTGTTGGAGAAGAAGAACTTTCGTGTGTCCAGTCTGGCCCCTGTCACACGTAGTTTGAATGGATGGCCTCGTAGATTTGTGCTGTTTGCTAACTCGAAGAAGTCACCCGGTACGAGGCTGCAGTCCTGACCGCGTATGATACGGAAGGCTTGTATGAGGTCACCCCGTAACTGCCTGTAACTCAAGGAAAAGAGATGAAGGTTAGCTAACCGCGTTGCATATGGTAGTGAACCCTGTCCTGCCACAAGTTTCGTTGCACGCCTTTGAACCCTTTCAAGGATGCTGAGGTCCTTCGCGGTCCAGGGTCTCCAAGCTTGGATAGCAAATTCTAGTTGCGGACGCACAAAAGTGTCTTCGTCAAAGGCAGAGAAAGCCCGCTTGACAAGGTAGAGGACTGACATTGCAGACTTGGCTATCTTCGTGCAGTGCAGCGAGGGTTTGAGCGAGGTCGTAATCCATACTCCCAAGTCCTTCTGCGAGTCCACTTCTTGCAGTGGTATACCATTTAGGCACTAGGCCATATGGATCGGAGAGCGAGCTCTGCCGACTCGTAGAATATTACACTTTTTCTCGTTGAACGGCAGAAGCCAGGCCTTTGACCGCTGTTGGAGTCGATTTAGGTTCGCCTGCAGATGCTCTTCGGCATCTGCAGTTCGAATGACGCTCCAGAGCTTAATGTCATCCGCAAACATGGCGACACCACAATCCAGTTCACTCACGCAATCGTTGACGTAAATGATGAACAAAGTAGGACCAAGAACTGAGCCTTGGGGAACACCGCTTTCAACGGCAACCTCCGTCGACTGCTTGCCACCGACATGGACAGTTTGACAACGGTCTAACAGGAAGCTTTGAATCCATTTTAAGAGGCTACCCCTAACGCCTGTTCGGCTCAGTTTGTGCAGGAGTCGCTGATGTGGGACACTATCAAACGCCTTTTTAAAGTCGATATAGACTACATGCAGCGCATTGCCTTCATCAACTGACCGAGTCCAACGTTCCAAACAGTTGAGCAGGTTAGTCACGCAAGACCTGCCACTACGAAACCCATGCTGCGCATCAGATAATAAATTATGCTGCTCTAGGAAGCGCATCAGCTCTCGCTTGATTATTTTCTCCATGAGTTTGCAGCAGATGGAAGTGAGGCTTATTGGCCTGTAATTGTTTGCAGAGGCCTTGCTGCCTCCTTTATGCAATGGTGTGATCCGCGCAGATTTCCAGTCGGCGGGCAAGCCGCCGGCCTCGAACGAGGCTTGGAAAAGCATGGACAATGGTTTGGCTAGTTCGGCTGCGAGCTCCTTCAGTAACTTAGGCTGTATGTCTTCTGGACCTGGTGATTTCGACTCATTTAGCGCCATTAGCTCTTTGCTAACCGTCGCTTCATCAAAAGACACAGACTCAATTTTTGGACCCTCATCGAAGTCGTAGTCGGTCGAAGTAAACGCACTTTCACTAGTAAAGCTATATTTAAAAAAATTGTGAAAAGTGCTCAGCTTATTCTCCATTCTCACTAATCTATACGCCTCCGCTTGTCTTTAGAAGGGGGATTGGATCTCTATTTCGTGTGCTGCTTCTTATGTAGCTGTAAAATAATTTTGGATTTTCCATAGCACGATTCAATAGGTCTTTTTCAAAATTTTGCCGTGTCCTGAGGGTCAGCCGCTTGACTAAGTTCCTCTGTAGTTTGTATGCGTTTATGGATACAGGAGTCCCATCAGTGAGAGATTTCTGCTACAATCTCCGCTTTTTATTTATTTCCTTTTTTAACGCCTGGGTCAGCCACCGGGGTCGTTTGTTTAGCCCCTTCCGTGAAAGCGGGCAGTGGTTTGTCAGGAGAGCTTGCAATAATTCACTGAACCATTTCCAATCCTCCTCTATATTTCCGGAAAACGCTGATTCCCAGTCCGTATTGTTATTTTCGGCCTTCATTTGATCGAAGTCCCCACGCCAAATATTTCTTCTAATTTTGGTGGGCTGTTCAGGCACGGAAAAGATTGAATAGTCCCATTGAAGTACCCCGTGATCGCTTCGACCTAAGGAAGGCAGACATTTTACCTCATCTATGTCGTCCATCGATTTCGTGAGCACCAAGTCCAAGCAGTTTGACTGCTGCCCCTCACGGACCCTCGTGGGAAATAGTACGTGCTGTGTGAGAAATGACCTGAGTGCCATGTCCAAGAAGCGTCGGTCGAAAGCTAGTTCTGGGCCGCGCGCGTATAGTGAACTCCAATCAATGAGCGGTGCATTGAAGTCGCCCATGATTAGGACGTCAGGCCGGAGAGCAAATCGTCCTAGCTCCTCTAACAGACGAGCGTCAGCCTCGGGGTCGCTCCTCGGTGGTCGATAGACGGTCAGAACTTCAAGGCTATGTGATCCTGGTACCCTTATAGTGAGCCAGATAGTCTCGGTGCTGCATGCAAACTGTCTGTCGAGACCCGCTCTTTGGAGGCAAATTGTTGGAATTCGGCCTCAGCCTAAAGTGCCCAAATGAAGTTTTGAAATGCATAGTAAATTCAACACGTTGGAAAAAGTTTTGGGATGTACGAACATTCATCACCTTGTCCGCCGTGATTGGCATTAATGACATTTACTCACAATGTTACGGCAATTAAAAGCGATGTCTGAAGGCGAAGGCGTGATTAAACAAACAAAGCAAAGACTGAGTAAGGACGCCCGCGCAAACACTCGGAGGTTGAATAGTCGCTCGCAGCACATGCGGTTGATCTCTGACCCCACACAATAAGAGGAGCCATTCGGCTACAGAGTACGGAACACTTTATACAGGAGGGGCAGGTCTTACTTAGATTATCTACGGCGCCAACAGCAATGATCTCATCAGTCATACTGAACTGCAATGCAGGCAAGTACCGTAATATACGAATGTACATAAAGTCACCACTTAACTTGCTCATTTGTGATATTGGCGAGCGTGTTATACGCAGCAGTTGCACCCTCTCCTTTTGAGAAATGACTGTGAACGGTAAGAAGTCCGACAGAAATGTTTCAATTTGCTGTGTCTCCTTGGTCTCCGTTCTGTGCGATGGTTATTACGGACCTAATTGTTTCTGGTGGTAGTGCCTGTCTGTTATCCGACTAGAATGAACGGCACTAATAAACAATAAAACAGGAAATGCGTGTCGACCATCCATGAAGCGCAATAATGGAATCTAAAAGAAATCGCCCAAATCATTTATTAATTTCGACCCGAGGAAAAAGCCAGAGGAGGTTACTTTGACAGATATACTAAAGTCTGGGAAACCATAAAGCTCTGAGGGATATGCTAATGGCGTTTGATTGTGACTGCTACCTTAGTTGAACGGTTGCATTTGCATACTGGGAAGGAATACCCAGCAGCATGTGGGCATGTGTAGAAGTGCTCGGAAACGACGACTTCCTAAGGAAAAATTGTGAAATTAATTACGATCCGAACTGATCCACCGCATACAGCAGTGTATGGTATTGCCAACGATGATATACACAATTGTTCACGGATTGCCTTTTGTCTTTAGTACAAAGTACTTCTGCCACTCATGACCAGCCGGTTTACTGTAGTATTGTGTGCTTACTGAGAAAACCAAACTGGTAACAGTGCTATCATAACCAAGTGGAAGGCGTTTAGCTCTACCTGTACTGTCACTTAATTTCCCAACTGATCCTAGAAAAACCGAAGAGAGGCGTTCATCTACTGTTGGTCTAGGCCGTGGTACTTTCTGATATGCAGGCTTAGTACACAAAGAGGCACACATAAACAACTCACCAAGGTATGTCGCTGCGTTGACAGATTACCAAAAGCGATATAATTCATCATCATTCCACACGAAAGTAGGAGAACTGTCAGAGTGAATATGTCAGAGCTTATCAATATAGATGTGACACTGGCTCTTCATCTGTGGCTGTCAATGATGTAAGGTCGCCTGTAGCCGCACACAATAATGTCGTATCTTTTAACGTCAGAAGCCAGGCAGCTGTGAGAACATGTTTAGTCTGAACGCAGGGCAGGTTGCCGTGCTTTTGCTTTTGTTGGAGCAATGCGTTCCTTCAGGCGAGTGTCAGTCGTGGCGCTGTTGTTTACGCCGATGTCACATGTCCGTGGCTGCATACGAGAATGTCTGGCCAAATGTAGGACAGGTAGGGGTCAGAGTCGTGTAGTGTGAGGACAAGAGTTGATCGGTAACAAGCAATACTCTCCGACGCCCGTAAGGCAGCGAATGTTCATGCGCGTAGCCGCGACTTAATACATTTGAACAAGAGGTTACCCAGCTTAGAGCTGTGGGGGGGGGGGTGACCGTTGGCAGGGTATGTGCGGGTTATGGCGGATGTCGCAGTCAGTGGCGGCATAAAGACACCAAGAAAGTGGCCACTGGAGAGACTGCTGCGGATAAAAGTAGTACTTTCACTGTGGATGAAGAATTTGGACGTGGTAGGAAACGTTTCTATTCGGATATGTAGTCCTTACCTATTCACGTAGTCAAGTTCGACGTTCATTTCTACTCTGAATCATGCTAGCTTCCATTTGACATTACACCATACTCATAATCAGCATATAAAATGTCTCAAATGCGGCTTCTATAACGACGAACAGTCAGTCAGCAAGCGAACACGTTTTATATTGCCCTGTTGATAATTTAATGATAATTCTGCATAATTGTCGACCCCCGAGAACACATTTTCAGCCATAAGTAGAGCTGGCCATACCAAAGTGATCGAACGAGCGAGTGACATTGCTGTTTTTATATACCTACTCACATTTTTTCCTTAAACTATCTGTTTGGATAGCGTATACTAATTGAAAAAAATGAACTGGACATCCCGATGAAGCAACGTGTGGACAACATTTGTAGATTTGCCGACGAACTCTCCACATCCTATGACAATGGACTCTTACATTCGCAATGGTCGTCCATATTGAGTCTTCAGCCTCTGCGCCCCTATCTGGAATAAGTATCCAGTTGGTACGAATAGGAATGAACCTAAGACTGTGAGGGCACTGCACACGAACATCGGAAAAGGTAATGATTTTACTCGTCCCGTTGTGTCTTACGGGGTCTCTCCATGTCGATCCCAACGAGCAGCCGCTCAGCGGCATATGCTATAGGCTTAAAAGCATTAACAACAATTACAGAGGAGACTGAAATGGCCCTTTACGGCTTACTAGCCGTAGCCAGCTAGCCATACATTACCCCGAGGCGTGAAACACTTTGGGCATGATTCAGCGAACCAAAAGCTAGAAGTCGACCTCCTCTAACCATTCAAATAAAATCAGGCACACGATGTCTAGATTTCCTAGGCGATATGAAATTTCGGCAACTTTCGATGAAACTACAACGTAGAATAGGAAAGTCGTAGACGAATTAGCCTGTTCCAAAGGATGTACTCGACGCACGTTTTCGGATAAACATACACCCACTTAAACGCGTTATCCATGCCTTTTTCCAACTGACTTTGAAGTTATCTTTTAACGGGACCCGTAGCAACTAGTGTTTGAAGTTGGGAAATTGCACAACTGTCACTCACCACAGTCAACAATAAGCATTATACAAATGACAACTCAACAAACAACGATCGGTGTTATGTCTGTCTGCTTGTCCCACCGTTGCGAATCCAGGCATGTTTGCAAGTTCATTTAAATGCCTAGGTCGAGTCGTGCATTTATGTTCTAGTCGGTCTCGCATATGTGCTCACATCAATAAATGCGTTAAATCGTTACTTTTTGCAGTACATGTGTGGACATTTGCAATTTTGCATAAAACTCTCTCCGATATAGATTCGTTGTCAATTATTATTTAATAAAACATATTTAAGGCCACATAAAATTGTCAGTTAAAATCTACTGAAAGGTGTGTCTTGGATGTCTAAAAGCGAATGAACTTGGTTTTTGTTCTAGAACACGCTGTCTGATTTTCATAGGTTCACATTGAACAGTCTATGCATCGCCTAGTATTTAAGTTGTAAAAAACCGTTCCACCATCATTTGCTGTCCTTGATAAACCCGACGAATGACACGCGTTTTTACTGTCATACTATTACAGCGCCTTATCGCCGAGGCATGCCTCTTTGCCCAAGGTATTTCTTCTTTCCTTATTTGTTTTAAATGTCAGAGAATCGAGTTCTTTCAAAATCGGCTACAGGCAAATTGACTTTAAACAAATATTATTTTTTTATTAAAAAAAACATGCTGTAAGTACCAGATATTTAAAAAGACTTTAAAGAAAGGCGTTTTGTAGACTAAATACTGTGTTTGTCAGGATCGTTCGTCTAAATGATAATTACCATAAACATTGTTTTTTTATAATTCTGAGTTTTCTCAATTTAACATGAGTATGGTTGCCGAAATTGATTCATGTATTTTGTTCTTAAAATAATTCAGTCAAATCTGGGTGCTCGTTGAAAGGGTAACATTAATATGCTGCCTCTCGTTCAAGTATGCTCAGGATAACCACGATAAATAACATATTTCTTTAGTCAGGGAAACGCTTAACTCAAATTGACATAACATGTTAGGGTTAGAGGAATTAACAAACAAGATGCAATGCATGCAACTTATATCCCTGTCCTGTAACGTGGTCACTTAACCCGTTCGCGTTGATCAGAGGTCAAGAAACATCTTTAGTTTTTAAACACTACGACATAGAGGAGTCACGTATACTTAAATATGTAAAAAATGTTTCAAGTTGACCTAGGTACACTGGATGTGTAGCGAGTACATTCCCGACAACTGTCACTTTTATCTACATCAACAATATAAACAACATGCACATACATTTTCTATAATTTGAATTTTTTGTTTATTTCAAAAGATCCCTCGAGGAATATTCTGCCACAAGAAATATGCCCCAAACTGGACTCCCACTCCTCACTTCCTCTGTTTTTGGAGAGGCACTTGTTCATTCAACCGTATATGCTGCATTATTTTGTGATGGATGATGATACGATAACAAGTTTTAATGTTTCTCTAAAAGGTAACATTACCACAGACAATTGCCTTCTCCGAGACGTAATCTATGAGCAAAGAATCATGACATTTCACTGCAATATTAATTTGCCCGTAACTTACTTCTGGATTACTCATTTGGTAAGGTCGTTCGCTGCAGTCTCTTATCACGAGTTTGTTTGTAAAGAATTTAACGCCTGCAGCCAACAACTATATTTTGAATTTGTTAACATTTCACTGGTTATGACATTTTAAACAGAATATTCGGAAGTACAGTAAACAAATGAGAACACCAAAAGTCATGGAATCACTGGAGGCGGCTCTCGAAAATTTGACGACGGCGGCCGTAGTCAACTACTTCTACGATGAAGCCCATTCCAATTATCTGCACATTTCTGATTTAACTTTTCCTGACCTCGACCGAAACCGTCTACTTTTGCACCAAGACAGTGGTAATGCGGCTTCTGCATGGAAACAAATAATACTTCGTCACGTCGATATTCTGACCCGGCAAACCTTCCTAAAATCGGCTATGAGAGTCTGTCGTGACTAGCTTTTTTTTGTGAAAACGTGTTTGTTTGGAATTCCGCCGTCAACAAAAAACAGTCCGGTCCCATTTTACTTATGAGCGTGCTCTACGCTCTCTTTGGTTTTAGGTAGATTACATCCGGAACGTTACTTGCCCTCAGACATTCAAATGCGCACTTTTATTAATGCCGCTCCTTACTGAATTGTTTTTGTTAGTCATTGGACCGTTTCTTATGCGGGTATATTAGTGCTTTCCATTCATCGTAATAATAAATACTCACAGCGCAGTTCTGACAAATGATGCATTCATAATTCCTGATTACTCCGACTTAACTCAGTTTGCCATGCTTTCTGGCTTCGATCGGAGCGTTTTTGTATGAAGAAACACCACGTGTCTTGCGTTTCCCCCCAGCAGCACTTGAGCGACCTAACTTTGAGTAGAACGCCTGTGTCCATTTCCATTAGCAAAGCAAGTTGTTTAGCAACTGCCAAATATCCCCGAAATTATGCCTACAAATAAAGGCTCCCCGTCAATTTCGAGAATATTTAACCTTAAAATTGACGAATCTTGTTTTAGGTGTGATTTGCGCATTACATTATGGAAACTAGTATTTTTGTCAAAAATAATCGGCTTAAACTTAAACAGATAAAATTTTAAACAAACAGTTAAATACATTTGATTAAATTTAACAAACTATATTCGAATATGTATACAATTTTGTTCCACTAAATAATGTAGGCCAGTATAAGTGGACTATTATCAAATGTGTTATTAATGCATTGCGGATGGTCGGTGAAATGTAATGTATAACAAATTTGCCTCAGTAATATTCATCTAATTGAACTACCTCAAAACGCATCATAACAAGTATTACCGTTTTGCCAACGACTTTACTAGGACAGGTGGTATAAAAAAGATGAGGCTGAATTTGCGTCTTTCATTTACGTATATCTAAGGCGCAGTATACTCTAGTAACAGTTATCTGTATGGTATTTATTTTACTTAGTTCGGCTATATTTGGTCTATGCAGTTAGAGAGAAGCGCCAACAAATGAGCAGTAATACTAGTGTCTGGCGGATACTCGGCGGACTTTGAGAGCTACTCAGCTGACCATTGCAATATAATTCACAGCATCATAAGTGCAGTAACATACATATTAACGGAGGGCGGAAACGTTCTCTCTCCTTGCGTATGCATAGACTACCAATTTTAAGCATTGGTCGTCAGGAGGATAGACGAGGTCGAATTAAGGAGCCTTGGAGCATTAGGAAAATATAAGGATATTTTGGATATTATTTTAATATTACTTATGAATACTGTCTGTATCATTGCTTTACGCTGTCGTTTTTAGTTACTTATAAATAATGTGCAATTTGGCGGTAGCAGCTATCACATATCACGAATGAAGTAGTGGTATGATTTTTGGTCCTAAATCCAAAACCATAATTAATGTCTAGTAATTGGTAAATTGCAAGATCTTACCTGGTTCAAGTTTACTAAATAAATAATTTGACGAAGGGTTCAATGTTGTTTAAGCAGCAAATGCCGCAGCACGTTGGTGTTTATTGTCATACAGTAAACTAACGTGTAACAAGAGTTGCTGCTGCAAAACTGATCTCGAAGTGGCATGCGTGGTGGGCACCACTACACTGCACAGTTTGAATGCGGGATTCATGCTACTAGTCAGAGAGCGCTTATCTGATGGCAAGTGAGAACGTTCAAAATGTCAGGGGCGATCATTTTACTTCGTTTATCATGTTGTACGCAGAACATCACTACTGATATTGTGCAAATTCATTTGTCGCTGAAAATATTATCCATCTACGCCTAACTAAGAGCCAGCTTCTCTTGAATAAAATTCCGTTAGATATAAATACACATGATAAGGCCTGAAATCTATCATAACCTTCTCTATGGCATGTTTTTGCGGAACATTTTTTCTCCATTAACTGTGTGTTCAAAAGATTTGAATACTCTCAGGTAATTGACCAGTCTATACGCAATTTTCAGACGTCTGATATACTG